ATATGCTTCAAGTTCAATTTTTTTGTCTCCATCTGAAGGCTCTGGGAGAAAAAAATTTTTTTCTTTTTGAGACGGAGTCTTGCTCTGTTGCCCAGGCTGGAATGCAATAGTGTGATCTTGGCTCACTGCAACCTCCGCCTCCTGGATTCAAGCAGTTCTCCTGCCTCAGCCTCCCAAGTAGCTGGGATTACAGGCATGTGCCACCAGGCCTGGCTAATTTTGTATTTTTAGAAGAGATGGGGTTTCACCATGTTGGTCAGGCTCGTCTCAAACTCCTGACCTCAGGTGATCCACTCACCTCAGCCTCCCAAAGTGTTGGGATTATAGGCATGAGCCACCACACCTGGCCCAGTAATAACCTACTTCTAACCAGTTTCCCTTTCCTTATTTCATTCCTTTGCCTCTTCCAACCCAGGGTGACCATTACCTTGATTCCCGAGTTTCTCATTCTGTTGTTTTTTCATTTTCAGTTTTATTGTATCTACATGCATTCCTAAGAAATACATATTTTAGAATTTATAAAAAGGTTATCATATCAGTATATAATGTTTTGAGACTTAACTTTTATTAATGTTAAGATTTTAGTTTTATGACTTCAATATTTTAAATGTTAGTAAACATTAAAAATAAGTTTTCATTCTTTTAAAAGGAAATGATTGAAAACTATGTCCATTGGAACGAAGACATAGGAGAATGGCAGCTAGTGAGTATTACCTTCATCCTTTCATGTGATACTTAAAGAGTACTTCCTATGGGCTAGAAATTGTGCTGGCTACAGTGGGGAGGAAGGTGGTCCAGTGGATGACTCAGATGAGAATCCAGTAGGGCAGATAAGATGTTTTTTTAATTATACATAATTAATTATAACATACACATCATGGTCTGGGTGAAGATGATCAGGGTCAGGGGCTATGTGGGACTGAGTGACCTTTCTGCCCCAACATTCAAATGATGTTTTACTAGTGTAATATTAGGATATCTCAGTTATTTGCCTAACTCACAGTATTGATTACTAATTAAGACGTTTCTCTCTTTCCTCCTTTTCTTTTTTTGAGAAATGTGTTGCCTACACAGGAAATAACATGAGGAAGCAAACCCCAGTACCTGATAAAAAGGAGAAAGACGTAAGAGTACTTTTTAAAAAAACACATAACTATAGTTGTTTCTTTATGGGAAAGCGAGTCATTAAATTGTATTATGAACCTGATATCTGTTAATAAGCTTTCCTGAAAAATGGCCTTATCTTTTGGAAATAAAGGCTCTAGGATGGGGTGATGGTTAGGACAATTCTGCTTACCATCGGTCTTGATGTCAGGCTTATTCGAACCGTAAGAGTAGCATGGAGTCACTCTCTGGAGTCCTCTTTTCACTACCACTCTGGGTCATGGTTATGGGTAGAGACTAGAATGTGTCTTTCTTCCTCTTCAAAGCTAGTTCTAGTCCTGGATCAACAAGAAGAGGGAGCAGCTTTAAAAAAAAAAATAGCAGGCTGGGCATGGTGGCCCACGCCTGTAATCCCAACACTTTGGGAGGCCTAGGTGAGTGGATCACGAGGTCAAGAGATTGAGACCATCCTGGCCAACATGGTGAAACTCCGTCTCTACTGAAAATACAACAGTTAGCTGGGTGTGGTGGCACGTGCCTGTAATCCCAGCTACTCAGGAGGCTGAGGCAGGAGAATTGCTTGAGCCCAGAAGGCAGAGGTTGCAGTGAGCCGAGATCATGCCACTACACTCCAGCCTGAGCCTGAGTGACAGAGCAAGACTCTGTCTCAAAAAAAAAACAAAAAACAAAAAACCAGCAACAGTTTTTATGTCCAAGGAAATTTATAGTGTGTCAGGGCTTCTTACTCAGCAACCTTTGGTGAGTAGATCCTGGGATTAGAAGATGATATCATTAGACATTTCTTTGGTTTTATCATCTGTGGTTTTTTTTCTGGGAGTTTACTCAGTATTTTAAATCTTCCCTCAAATCTGGTTTAACTCTCCCATAAGAGTGCTTTGTGTTTATTTCTTTTACTTAGCCCTTTGAAGTGGACCTTTCTCATGTGTATCTTGCCTATACTGAGGAGAGTCTCCGTCAGTCTTTGATGAAACTAGAAAGACCACGAACTTCGAAGGGGAAAGCAAGGCCAAAGACAGGGAGAAGGTAAGGACTGCCCTTGAATCTCATAAAATAAAGGCATTGAGGTATTCTAATTAAATACATATATAATAAATTAAAATTTAGTTAATTAATATGATACATATTTTGGCTGATTTATTAAAAATCAAATTCCTGATGGGGCACAGTGGCTCATGCCTTTAATCCCCACATTTTGGGAGGCCAAGGCAGGTGGATCATGAGGTTAGGAGTTTAAGACCAGCCTGGCTAACATGGTGAAACCCTGTCTCTGCTAAAAATACAAAAATTAGCCAGGCATGGTGGTGCATGCCTGTAATCCCAGCTACTCAGGAGGCTGAGGCAGGAGAATCGCTTGAACCTGGGAATCAGAGGTTGCAGAGAACTGAGATTGCACCTCTACACTCCAGCCTGGTCAACAAAGCACGACTTGGTCTCAAAAAAAAAAAAAAAAAAATCAAATTCCCTGTGTATTAGAATTTGAGTAAATAAAATCTGGCCAAAGAATTAAGGTCTTCCAACTTCTTAGGCTCCTGCATAATAGAATTTATTTTTATTTCACTCTATTATTTTTAAATGTATAATGAATTTAATTCCTTAATTCTTAGACTAATTCTTCTTATGAAATGCTAATTAATTTGCCTGTTTGGTCTCCCAAGGTATTGTATTCAGCTGGTTAGTTTTTCTGTCACAGTGCCCCAAGAACCTTGATTTCCTCAGTTACCAACTAAGAAAAACTTCTCTGGACATTTGCCCCTCTCCTTTGGGTACTGGTTTTGACTGTTGGGTAGTCTGCATGTATCATCACATAAACTCAGGGAAATCAGGATGTGGGAGTCCTGGGCTGGAGGTTATTTTTTTTTCTCTCCCTTTCCTGCATCAAGGACTGTTCAGTTTATTTAAGCTGATTTTAAGACTCGGGGGCTCCTGAAATGCAGAAAATAATAAGCCCCTTTTTTCCATACTTTGAGTGCATGGACTTTCAAGTTACATGTGGGATTAAGTTGTATGGTTTTGATATGTTTATGCTACATAATCTGATAGACATGACTTAACAGTTATAAATTTGGGATGGTTGAACTCAGAGTTGGACAGTCAGTTGCATATTAAAAATGTACAGATTTTTACATTCTTTAGCATTAGGTGAGGGGTTAAAAACTTTTCTATCCCAAAACATGCCGTGCATATTATACTAATGAATGAAGTAAATCAGCTCTAAGAAACTCGAGTCCCTTTAGATGTATTGTTTACTTTTCCACTTTTAGTAAAATGACAATGCAAGCCTGATGACAAATGTTGAGACATTTGGCCTCAATGTAGGAGAAAAATTGGCAGTGGTGGGGACCAGGGCAAACTGTAGAGCAGTTGTGTCTAAAGTGAGTGGCTGCTATTGTCTTCCTAGTTATCTATGGAAATAGAGGGCTTATTGTTTCTGATTCTTCTCTCTCTCTCTCTCTCTTTTTCTTTTTTTTTTTTTTTTGAGATGGAGTCTTGCTCTGTTGCCCAGGGTGGAGTGCAGTGGTGTGATCTCTGCTCACTGCAACCTTCACCTCCTGGGATTAAGCAGTTCTCTTGCCTCAGCCTCCCAAGTAGCTGGGATTAGCACCTGCCAACACACCCGGCTGATTTTTGTATTTTTAGTAGAGGTGGGGTTTTGCCATGTTGGCCAGGCTGGTCTTGAACCCCTGACCTCAGGTGATCTGCCCGCTTCAGCCTCCCAAAGTGCTAGGATTACAGGTATGAGCCACTGTGCCCAGCCTGGATCTTCTCTTTTCTAAGGAGAAGCCGGAAATTGGAATTGGAAATTGGAATTATTTATTTGAGATCTCTTAATTTTAGTTACTTTTTTTTTTTTTTTAAACTGTGTGGACCTAAAGCAAATGAGTAAGATATTTGAATACATTTTTCAGAACACCCATTTTAAGATGTCATTTTTTTAGTTTAACATTAAAAAAAAGTATGGCTCAATATTACATGAGCCAAACTCACCATCTCTGTGTACTAGAATTGGCCTGCTGTAACCATGGAAATCCTAAGAAAATGATAGCCATAAATATGGACAAATATATGCATTAAATGGTTTATTGATGTTATATTACATTATATGTTCAATGTGATGTTCTTCATTAGAAACGCATGTTAGATGGGCTGGGCAAAATTGCAATAAATATGATATATTAATATAGCATTTCCATTAAGTCCCTACATAAGCATCTGTGAGGTGTTGCTTGAGATGATTTGTTTCTGATTTCCTCTGAATCCACTTGCACCTTTTGAGTACCTCAGAAGAGGTAATCAGGGGGTTCAAATCTGGCAAGCATGCAGCTCACTTGGCCTGGCCACATGACCTAGTCCAGTCTTGGAAGTTATCACCTGTCGTATCCCTCACTACTCGTGACATAATAAGATGGGCTACCATCCTCTTGCACTTACTCTAAGTCAGCTTCCTGTAGCCTGAAAAGGTGAGCATTAATTGAACACTTGCTGTGGTCAAACATGTCAAATATTGGCTTGTTTCCAGAGTCTATACAGGCCACCCCACATTTTCTACTATATAATGTAAAGTGTTTGCATTTCAGTCTTTTAGGAAAGCATTCATGCTTTCTTTTTTTCTTTTCCAAACAGAAAGCGTTCTGCAAAGCCTGAAACTGTAATTGACTCTTTACTGCAGTAAATGTTACAGACTTAAAGTCACAATAAAAATTAGTGATATTCTCATGCCTGGACAAAATCTTTAATTAAAACACTGAAGACTTCTCTTGTAATTTTAATTAATGGAAGCTGTAGATCAATGAATAAGACCGGAAATAGTAATTTGCCTAATAACTTTTAGTCTACATATATTAATGTAACATATTAAAATTGTACAACTGGTGATTGTTCAAATTGTCATACTACTACTCTTCAATTGTACTATGCAGGGAAGTTGGGGGAGCAGTTCATACTATAGAGAGCTACAGTTTAGATATGTGTGTAAATTGGTTAGCTGAGCTACTGTATATTTAGATAACTAGAATTTCAAAATAGAAACTGTATCCTCTTTTGCACATAGAAGCAGATCAGATTGTCCTGTGTTGCGCTGTTATATATGAATGTTTGAACTGCACATCTAAGAAATGACTCCGTTCTAACACTAACCCACCCAGCCTGTTTAAACACATTCTAATTTTCTGACATTCGTTGCATTTTAAGTATGATATAACTGATCTTATCAATATTCTGTAGAAAATTTTATAATTCAACAATCCTTAGGAGTATACATATCTTTTAAAAAGTTGAACATGTTTCATCTGGATCTTTCCTAACTTTTTTCTTGCCAGTTTGAGTTCAAATCAAATACATCTTATGTTCTGGTTTCATATTCTCTTGAAACATTGAATTGTACCTAAATATAAAGGATCTACTGTTGCAGAAAATTAAGAAGCTAAATACTGGTCAGTTATCTTTGCCTGCATGTATGCTTTTAAAAATTCACTTTGAAGTGTAACTTATGGATGCTTTCCTTTGAATTCTAAATTTTGGTGGGAATTACTTTATATCTCCCAGTTGTGAAGGATCTCCATTTTCCAGAAAATGCAGCTAAACAAGAAAAATATCTTTTAAATACTTAGCCTTTAAAACACTTTTTATTTTGTTTTGGTATTTTAAAAATAAGATATTCTTTTCTGAATTTCTTCTACTGAGTAATCCAGTTAGACCATATTCCTCTGCAAATAAAAGTTATGTTCATTTCATAGTAAAGTTGTAATAGATAGAATTATTTTTTTCTGTTGTTAGCTGCTTATGAAATTTTTATTTTTATTTTTTCTTAAAGTTAGGCTACTCCTGGCCAGGCATGGTGGATCACTTGAGGTCAGGAGCTTGAGACCAGGCTGGCCAACATGGTGAAACCCCGTCTCTACTACAAATACAATAATTAGCTGGGTGTGGTGGCACGAGCCTGTGATCCTAGCTACTTGGGAGGCTGTGGCAGGAGAACTGCTTGAACCTGGGAGGCGGAGGTTGCAGTGAGCCCACATGGTGCCGCTGTGCTCCAGCCTGGGTAACAGAGTGAGACTCCATCTCAAAAAATTAAAGTTATGCTACTCCTAAACCACTTAATATATGTTTTGTGGTTTTCAAAATTATGTAATTAGCCCTGAAACACATTGGTTGAAAATATTTTGAGACTTTATAAGTTAGTATTTATTAAATATTATTTTAATAAGTTTTGTTAAATCCTAGTTTAAATTACAAAGCTGTGTATAGAGTAGGGGTGACTGAAGGTGGAGTACTGGTGAGGTGGTGATTAAAATGTATCCATAAATTTAAAGTCCATTCCATAATTGGAATACTGAATGTCCTGTGTGTGGTGAACATTTTCTAGGTGATTAGAGTTGCATTTCACTGAAAGCATTTCTTTGTGATACGTAAGATAGTTAGAAGTTTACTGCTTAACTCTGTGGGGCATTGTTTAGGTACTAAGAAGAGTTGAGGTAAATATGTGTCTTGTAAAAGCTTGTGTGATCAGAATATTTTGGTAATTATGAAATGTTTTTGATGATGCACATTTAACTGTTAGTAATTACTATAAAGAAATCTTAATTTTACCAGTTGAAAAAAAAAACAGTGCTTCTTTTTAAAAGTTCACGTTTCTAACCTTTTACAATTCAGCTAACAGGAAAGGAGTAACTTTTAAATCAAGCTTTAAAACATGGAAATTTAAGCCAGTATGTTAGGTATTTTTTTATCCCACCCTACCATGATAACAAAAAGAAATCTATAAAAAGTCAAAATAAAAAGCCCATCTATAAAAAATCAGTTGAGTTCCTAAAGCAGGCTACTATAGCAGGGGTGTTTGTTTGTTTGTTTGGAGACAGAGTCTCACTCTATTACCCAGGCTGGAGTGCAGTGGGATGATCTCGGCTCACTGCAGCCTCTGCCTCTTCAGCCTTCTGAGTTGCTTGGACTACAGCTGTATGCCACCACACCTGGCTAATTTTTGTATATTTTTGTAGAGACGAGGTTTTGCCATGTTACCCAGGCTGGTCTTGAACTTGTAGAGCTCAAGTGATCCACCTGTCTCAGCCACCCAAAGTGCTGGGATTACAGGTGTGAATATAGGCCTGAGCCACAATACCCGGCCTACTATAGCAGGTTTTTTTTTTTTTTAAAAAAGCATTATGTTAAAACTGATTATACCAGATGGACATTAAATATCCATCTCGGAAATACCAAAATTTGATATTCAAGCCTGGCCTGAATATCCATATGAAAATATGGGACACTGACTTTAGAGCTATTCATTTAGCTCCAGTCATAGCAGTTCTGTGGTTTCTTCACATCTACTGTGTCTTTGTCCACAAATGAAATATTTTGTAACTTCAGTGTTAATTTTGTGAAAGGATATAGATGAACACACTTGCTCATTATTTGAAATAAATACGCAGATTTAAAATGAGTGGCACATATATGTAAATTGGTTATTGAATGAGTATTCTCTTTTCCCTTTAATTTGAAGAGTCATATTTATTTATTAAAAGGAGCCTTGGTAGCTTCATTGGTTTATAGTATCTTCTTTAATAATCCTTACAATTACATATACTAACAGTTAGGATGTTAAAATTATCATAGTATTTCCTATTTGTGTTTAGATTCTTATAAAGCATGAGATGAGTAATCAAGGGGAGGGTTGCATCTCCATGTTTGCCTCATGAATAGAATCCATTTGACAGGCCATTTCATTTCCTTTCTTGAGAAAGGAATTTTTTTTTTGCAGCAAAAATTTAAGGTTATGTTGTGGGAGGGGGTGGTGCTACTTCATCTGTAACATATTTTAAAACTATGATTATGGTTTTTAGGTTGTTTTTTTGTTTTGTTTCAGTTTCTTTTTAGTCTGTTTTTAATATCCTTCCCCTTAACTCTTAAGGAAAGTCCTCCTCTTTCCTACGGGGCTGTGAATTAAGGAATGGGTAGCGTTTACATTTAAGTATGCCAGTGTCTGCCCAATCTCCTAATGTATACATTTGTTTTCTTTTTAATTATTCATTCTTCTCAAAAACACTAGCAGAAAAAATAGATGTTTCTAGTGCCTTTGAACTTATACTGTAGTCTGACTAAATAATGAATAACTTCAGTAGCATTACTATAATACTGTATACTGGCCAAAATTACAAATTGTACAGTTTGTTGCATCAATTACAAAAGCCACGCTTTCATTGTATTTTATGTATAAATTGTATTTGTTCAAGTTGTATATATTGATATTGTATGTATACATGCAGCATGGTTAAATAAGAATAAAAATCTTTTACCTAATGCCTGTAGTAGTGGTCTGCTGCTTTTCTCAACTGTGTTTGTGTTTACTTCCACCCTGATATGAACAAGCAGGTTCTTTGTGCTTGGCATCTCAATTTTGTGTGGTTAAGAGAGGCCTGTGTAATTTCACACCCAGAAACTCTTAATATTGTGGATCTTTTCAGCAGAAATCATGAAGCAAATCTTGGAGAGATGTTATTTATTTAAACTTTCAGGTTTGGGGGTACATGTGAAGGTTTGTTACATAGGTAAACACATGTCATATGGGTTTGTTGTTCATATTATTTCATCACCCAGTATTAAGTCCAGTACCCAATAGTTATCTTTTCTGCCTGTCTCCCTCTTCCCACCTTCCCCCATCAAGTAGATCCCAGTATCAGTTGTTTCCTTCTTCATGTTCATAAGTTCTTAACATTTAGCTCCCAATTATAAGTGACAACATGGGATATTTAGTTTAGTTCCTCTCTCCCAATTCCAGCTTACATATTCCTGTATTAGTTTGCCCAGGGTACTAGCCTCCAGCTCTATCCATGTTCCTACAAAAGACATGATCTCATTCTTTTTTATGGTTGCATAATATTCCATTGTATATATGTACCACATTTTCTTTATCCAGTCTCATTGATGGACGTTGAGGTTGATTCCATGGAGAAACGTTTTCATTTTATTTATTTATTTAGAGACAGAATTTTGCTCTTGTTGTCCAGGGTGGAGTGCAGTGGCATGATCTCAGCTCACCGCAACCTTCACCTCCTGGATTCAAGCGATTTTCCTGCCTCAGCCTTCTGAGTAGCTGGGATTACAGGCATGCACCACCATACCCAGCTAATTTTGTATTTTTAGTAGAGATGGGATTTCACCATGTTGTTCAGGCTGGTCTAGAACTCCTGACTTCAGGTGATGCACCTGCCTCGTCCTCCCAAAGTGCTGGGATTACAGGTGTGAGCCACTGCGCCCAGCTGGAGAAACGTTTTTAAATGCGCTGCTTCTCATTGATAAAATGTATTTTTCACCAAAAATATTTTTGTCTCAGTTTTGTTATCCTTTTCATCAGGTGTTTGAGAACAGAAACCAATTCTCAGGTCATAACTTAAGTATGCATGTAGAATGTATTCCATGAAAAGTACTGTTGCTTGGTGATAACAGTGCCGTGATCTCATTTAGATTCTCTTCAGAAGCTTAAAGTATCTCCAAGACAATTCCATTAGCTGGGTTATTGTCAATCATATGTTCTTTTGACAAACATTGATTACCAGGCACTGTGATTGGCAGGCTTAAGAAATTCAAATTAGAAAATGGGAAATTTTGATTTGCCAACAAGTTTCAAAGGACTTTTAAAATTTTTATTTTTTAATTGACACATAATAAGATGTATTATGAGGTACATTGTGGTATTTTGATGCATGAAATATATAACGATCAGATCAGGGTAATCAACATATACATCTTCTCAGACATTTATTATTTCCTATGTTGTGAACACTCAATATTTTCTAGCTTTTTGAAAATATCGTTTACTATAGTCATTCTACAGTGCTATAAAAATACTAGACCTTCTATCTAGCTGTAATTTTGTGTCTCAAATGACTTTCTTTTTAAAGACAGGGTTTTGCTCTGTTCCCCAGGCTTGAGTGTGTGGTGTGTTCATAGCTCCACAAAGTTCAATTACTTGAACTCCTGGGCTCAAGAAATCCTTCTGCCTCAGCCTCCTGAGTAACTGGGACTACAGGTGCATGCCCCCACACCTGGCTAATTTTTTATTTTATTTTATTTTGAGACAGAATCTTGCTCTATCACCCAGGCTGGTGTGCAGTGTTGTGATCTCAGCTTCCTTCAACCTCCGCCTCCCAAGTTCAAGTGATTCTCCTGTCTCAGCCTCCCAAGTAGCTGGGACTGTAGGCACGCATCACCACACCTGGCTAATTTTTGTATTTTTGGTAGAGACAGGGTTTCACCGTATTGGCCAGGTTGGTCTTGAACTCCTGACCTCATGATCTGCCTGCCTTGGCCTCCTAAAGCACTGGGATTATAGGCGTGAGCCACTGTACCTGGCACCAAGCAATGTTTTCAAAATGTCTTCTTTGTAGGAGTGGAAACTCCTCTGGCCATTCCAGGGTTGTTGTTCTCCCCCAATTCCAGCTTACATAAAACTCTTACCTGTGTGTAGAACATGAAGACAAAATTAAAGGTCTGCCCTGGCATGTGCAAGACAATAAATGGCACTGTCTTTGCCCCCCTTTGTCCCGCTTCTCCAATTGAGTTCTGGAAGCTATGGTACCCAGTTCCATCAAGCAATACCACTGAGCCCTTACAAAACCTGTTACTTCCTGTGTTGTCAGGATGCTGCTGAAGACGTTGTCCATCCTATCGTCT